AGGGGTCCCAGGAGGGGGCAGTCAGGGGACAAGGCGTGGGGGGGAGGGTTGGGGGTTCTGAGGGGGCAGGAAGTGGGAGGGAGTGGAAGGGGCAGCGGCAGGGCTAGGGCAGGACGGGGGCGGGGCTAGGGCGGGGCTCCTCCCATCCTCTTTTTTGATTGTTGAAATATGGTAACCCTAGGAGAACCTGAGGTTTTATTTGAGGGAAGTCAAAAGTTTCACACAGAGACTTTTTCTGTTGTAATCAATCAGTTATTAAACTTGTCTTCATCGCCAACTGGATGCCTGCCTATAGGTTGTTGAATGACCGCTTTGGAGTACTATTTGAAAACAACTTGCTGGACATTTCTGACACTCACAAGTGTGCAGCTGAACTTGCTGCAGTTTACCCCAATGACTTGGAACAAAATTTTCCCAATGAACTCATACAGTTCAAATTCTTTGTACAAATGAAAGTTTTAAGGCAAAGCAACATTCAATCGACATTCCCTAATGTGAATGTTGCTCTCAGAATTTTCCTGACCCTACCAGTTACAAATTGTGAAGGAGAATGTACATTTTCAAAGATGGCAAGGATAAAAAATGAACTGAGATCAACAATGCACTAAAAGGATCTGAATGCATTATCTCTAATGGCAGTTGAGTCAGAACTGGTTTGACAAATGGACTGTGACGACATTATACATGATTTTTTTCCCCTCAAAACTCAGAAGAAAACGATCATTTAAAAGGTAAGACATCTTATATCATGTTTTATTTATTTGTATTTTTGGTTACATAATGTGATAGTATTATTAAAATGTAAATTTAATGGGCATATAAAAGAGAGACATTTACGGTATATTGAGTGTAGCACATTTTTTCCACTGCTATATAAAGATGTTCCTGGGATTGACACGCAAAGTCTGCCTGTAATTAGTTTGCTAAGCTTCTCTCAGTTTAATAGATGCTGATAAAAGGGATCTTTGATGGGATAAAAGTCACAGAATCAAAATAATAACAAAATGCAATCTCTTTAAAAGGAATGTGAAACTTTAAGGGCATGCATACTAAATCAAAAAATAATCAATCCGAAAATGTGAAATAATAAATGGATTACAGAGGGTTTGTTTAAATAATTACTCAAATAAAGATAGTATTTTGTTGTTTAATGTTTCAGGCCTGATAAACAATTGACATGTATAGTGTGTTGTTTAATTTAATTAAGATAAAATATTGGTGAACTTGTATTAGAGACTATTGGTTTGGCCTGTATGTTTTTCTTATAGTTTAGCACTGTGAGCAATGTAAAAAAATGTTTTAATGTTCCATTGCTACTATAATAATGGGGAGGAGATTCACAGGTGTTAATAGTTCTTAAATAAGAGTCTACAAGATCACTAAAATGTTTACATTATTTCATTTTGAGTTATTTTACATATATTTTACCATATTCATTTTCTATGTAGAAAAATTGAGCAGTTAATTTAGGCATACTGAATTGGGATATGACTTACTTTATTATTAATGCAGTGTGTAAACACTGAATGGAGTCTTTGTATTAATGCATTTTGATACATTCGTGTTTTTAATGTGGTGTGGAGGACCCAAATGTTCTTTGTGCCCAGGGCCCCAATAAAGCTTAATCCGCCTCCGGTTGTAGCTTCCAGTTCATAAATACTTGGTGTCGTTTTCTTTCTTTGCCCCCAGAGGCGGAGGGAACCCCAAATGGGACAATGCCCCAGAATCCAGGCTTCAAGAACTGTGCCTCCTGCCCGCACTCATTTTCACCAGGGCTGTACTGCTCAGGGCGGCCCACATCGCCAACCAATGTGCAATCTGTAAATCCTTCCTGCCACGGATGCAGGAGGCCCAAGAACTTTGACTTCAGGAGTTCCTCATGGAGGAGACCATGCGCCCGTGGGTGTGTTCCCATAGGAGACCGGCGAAACCGCCGATGCACCGCCTGTCACAGACAGACAGCGCTACACTGAGCCTCTCTCAGGCACAGATCCCAATGGTACCGAGAACGCCAGACAAGCCAGCCATGAGCAGAAGAAACAGGATCAAGGGCATAAGGGCAGATCCCTGTCCAGGACTGCCCCAAAATGCAGTATTGCCTCCCCAAGCAGTGCCAGCTCGGGCAAGAAGTCACATGTCGACCCGGCTGCTCCAGCTCCGAAGCTCCCCCAGCTCAAGGGTAAGGACAAGCACCTGTGGAAGCCGATGTACAAGCGCAGCCTCTGATTACTGCACTGGCACCTGCACGCCTACTGCCTGTACCTCCAATGCCGCCTGGATGCTCGGGATCATCCCATGCAACTCCTCGTATTCCTAGCCGCCTTAAGCCGCTGGTGTCTACTGAAGAACTGCTGCTCCTGTACCCTGGTTCTCCCCTGCTTCCTGGACCACTGACCATCTCCGTCCTGCCTGGCAGACGAACCATTATTGCTGCTGCTGGAATGGTGCATCCCTTTTCCCCACCTCGACCCTCTGTTACCAATGGCACCACCCATTGCCAGAACCATCCTCCAAGTTCGAGGGCTTCATTCTCGCGGGCCCTCCAACAGAATTCAGAGTCATGGCACAGACCTCCTCACTCGCCCCGGCTTACGACCCTGGTGCGAACCACCCATGCTCGGAGACCTTTACTACTGGGCACCTTAAGATTCTTGCCAAGCATGCCCTGTCTTGTCTGTGGCTTTGTATCAGCTGTCCCCAGTGTGCCCTCTGGCGCCCTCTGTGTATGAGAAGGAGGAAGGAGAGATGGAACTGGTACTGCCAGTTCTAACAGTGGCCTGTTCCTTCCCAGATGAGGCGCTCATTCTGACCTCTCTGTCCCCACCAGATGACCACCGCCAACATCAGGAGCTATTACACTTGCACTCCCATTGGAGGAGGTCCAGGACACCCGGCACCAAAAGCTGGACATCCTCCAACCCCAGGGACCCTCATGGATGGCTCTCCCCATTAACAAGGCTATCCTGCAACCGGCTCAGATGGTATGACATACCTCTGCCTCCTGTGCCCCCGCCCCGAAGAGGGCAGAGAGATGGTACTTTGTCCCCACCAAAGGCATGGAGTTTCTCTTTACTCACCCACACCCAACTCCTTGGTGGTCTGGTTGGTGGCTCTCAACATGAAGGACACCTATTTCCACATCGATATTCACCCACTCCATTGAAAGTTCCTCCACTTCACACTGGGGCACAGCCTCTACCAATTCCAAGTCCTGCCTTTCGGCACAGCAATGGCTCCACATATATTCACCAAAGTCTTCGCTGTCATAGCAACACAGATGTGCAGTCTCAGCTACTCTGGTTTCCCTTACCTGGATGAATGGCTCCTTGTTGCACTCTCCCACTCCTGCCTACTCTCCACCATCCTCACTCTCCATCCATCTCTCAGGGTCTGCTTCAACAAGAAGTCAGTTCTTATCCCTACCCAGACGATCGACTTTATTGGGGCATGGCTCGACTCCATCGCAGCATGGGCCTTCCTTCCGGCGGATCACTTCATTACCATCGTGAATCAAACTGCTGGCCTGCGCTGCAACCCCCGCATCACTATCCACTGCTGCCTCCCCCTTCTTGGACATCTGACAGTGTGCACCTCGGTCATGCCACATGCCTGTCTTCACATGCGTTGCCTTCAGCTTGGCTCCTCTCTGTCTACAGACCACAATGTGACCACCTGGACAGCAAGATCCTGATTCCCCAGCTGGCACTGCTGTCCTTTATCTGGTGGACCGACTCTACCCACCTGCTGGTCAGTACTCCCTTCAAGCCACCCACACCACAAACCATGCTCACAACAGATGCCTCCCTCACGGGTGGGGGTGCTCTCTAGGCAGCCACTCTGCGCAGGGCATCTGGATGCCTCGAGAAGCAAGGATGCACGTAAATCTCATAGAACTGCGGGCAGTCTATCTCACCTACCAGACCTTTCTTCCCCACATACAGGCCAAACACATCTAAATACTCTCTGACAACATTGCAGTGGTGGTCTGCATCAACAAACAGGCGGCGCCAGAACTCCCTCCCTCTGTTCAGAGTCCATCCATCTCTCGAACTAGGGCATCGAACATCAGGTCACACTCCAGGCTATGTATCTCCCTGGCACCCATCAATGCGCTCAGTAGGATTCTCTGCCTGAACCATGAGTGGGAACTGCACGACAACATCCTGTGGTACCTTTCCCACAAGTGGGGCACACCGCAATGGGATCTCTCTGCCACTCGTGAGAATCACAAACTTCCGCTTTACTGTTCCAGGGGAGCTGTGGGGGAGGACTCGCAGGGCGATGCCCTTCTCCTCTCTGGATGGACTCTCTCCACTCCGCCTTTCCTCCCATATCCCCCTCCCACAAATCCTACGCAAGATTTGCCGGGATCGAGCCCTGTTTTGGCCCCGCCAGTTTTGGTTCATGGACCTCCTGAACCTCTCCATCCAAACACCACTCCGCCTCCACACACTACCAGATCTCCTCACACAGGACCGGGGCCAACTCCGACATCCCAAACCTGGCCCTCTTCACCTCAAAGCTTGGTTTTTGGATGGAGTTTGGAGATAGACAGAGCATACTCCATCTCTGTGCGATGTATCCTCACCCAAAGAAACCGGGCATCCACCAGGACCTGCTTGTGATGTTATTGACATGAACTGTGACCGTAGAGATCATTGTTGCAACCAAGGTCCTATAGTTGTACCAAACCTTGTACAAAGGAGGTCAAGTAAGATGTCTATGGAAAGGTTGTAATTTGCTGGTTATGATTATGCTGATATTACCTCTTACACCTCCTCCAGCTGCTTCTCTCAAGCCTCCATCACCTCTTTCTTCTCTGGGTTTGACCCTCATCCATACCCCAAACTCAGCTGAGGTGAGCTGAACAGGCTGGATTTGAATCTTGTTACATATAGCTTGACATTCCTCAAGCTAAAAACTGTTGCCACACTGTTCGGATTCAGAGTCAGACAGCTTGCCTTCCTCACTGGAAGAGGGGCTGAGGGAGGAGGAAGAGGAGTCAAAGGACTCATATCTACTGGATTTTTTGTCCTTTTTCTTTCCCTTTCATGACTTTTTAACCTTTTTAGTGCACTGTGGGAGCGTTGAAGCTCTGCTGCGGCTTTGGTGAGGCCTTTTGTGGCTTACCTTTCTCAGGTTCTGAAGCCATCTCAAGAGGTCTTCCTCATAATCCTCCCCTATTGGGTACCATTTCCTGGGGGAAGGAGGGAATTCTTGTCCAACCCTTCCTGGTTAGCTTGGGAGGAAGGGCCCTGCTTCTTTCCCCAAGTGCTCAAGATCCACTTTAAGAACTGGATGGAGGGACTGGTGGCCCTGCAAGCGTCTCCTCTTTGTTCTGCAAGAGTCTTTTGATATTTATCCCTGAGTCAAGTGGTCAGGGTCCTCCTTGCTTTTAGAGCTTCTCCCTGCTCTGCACTGGGGGTTCTGGTACATTTTTCCTCAGTTGAAGCTACAGTTGCCTTGGTGGGAAGAAGACCCCTAGCTTTTTGATTAGTAGCCCTCGGCCCTAATGAAATTAGGGTTGGTTGGCTGGGTGCAAGCTGGGCACAACTCACTGTCTGCCGAGCCTGGGAAGGCTGCCTTACAAACAGAGCACTGCTTGGCTTTAACCCTGTGTTTTCTTGCTGTTCTGCCATGCTTACAGAGTGGCAGAAGAGCCAACAGGGAAACGCTGCAGTGGATGCTCAGAGAGGGTTAAACTACTGAAGATGTAACTGACCCAGGAAGGAGGAGGAAGGGGGGAGCAGGAGAACACTGCTCCCCACTGCCCCAAAACTGGGCAGAAACAACTCAAATTGAAAGGTAAGGGTGAGAGCAAGAGAAACCAACACCATCTGCTGCCATGGAGGCAGAGAATCTGGTGGTAAGAAGGAGCAGAGGGATCCTGTCCAGAGCATGAGGCACCAAAACACTGATCTGCCTCCACGAAGCTGCAGAGAGAGGAGAGAAGCCCAGATGTCCAGAATTGTGGGAAATGCTGAGCTGCAGAAAAAGTAAATATAACATGTATATGCAAAAAGATTTGAGACATGTGTACAGATGTGAGACGTGTACACACAGAAGTGTCATCAGGGCATTCAGAAGATGTATACAGGTAAATGTAATTTACTTAAACACCAGATGCATTAATAGAAGACTAGATCCTATAGTATGGAATACAATTTTTTATCTAATAAAACTTTCTTTAATAATATTTGCCCTCTGCAGTTATGCATTTCAGTCATTTTTTCAGATAGAAAGTGCCCAGCCTCCTTCCATAGACATGTAACTGTGGCATAAAAACATTTAAGAGTCCTGTTTCTTAATCAAAAGCATTTTATGAAAAGCTAAAAATTAATTTTGCATAAAAGCTATTTTGACAAAAAGCCATTAACCCAGCATGCGTGAGTGCCTCTACTCCTCCCCCAAACAAATTCAGCTAAGAAATTCAAGTTGGGAGTGGGCACAGACAAACAGACCAGTAAAGTATACAGTGTGCATGATAGAAAGTGCCTGTTATGTTTATAGTGCTATCCCGCTTCTGGAGAGAAAACCTCTTATGAAATCTTTCTGTGTTTCTAACACTGTTGCAAAGCTACAGGGAATTCTAATTGTATAAACAGTTATGGGGAAACGTGAGAAAGTGTGAGGCTATGTCAAATCAGTGGCACATATGATAAATACATCACAGCATTAGGCATGTTGGATATGAATTTTCTGACTAGCAACCCAGATGCATTTACCAAAACTGTCACAAAGTTAGCTAGTTTTCCTGTTTGATTACACAACCAGCTTCGCAAAGCTAAAGCATGTACAGCAGGTCACTTTACCTTCTCATCCATTTAGGTGGATTTTATTTTTAATAATACATGATCGCCAATATTTAGAATATGAATAAAATCTGCTGCTCACACAAGCCTAAGGATACATATTTTAAAATGACTTATTGGATACCTTCATGTTTTGTTTAAGGCATGAACAATGGCATATGAATGGGAACAGCTTCCAGAAAAGCATTGTGTCTTTTTGACAAGGCCAGTCCAAGCACATCACACTAAAGGACTAGCCTCAAGCCGGAAATGATAGACTGTTGTAACACAAGAGTTTTTAACAAAACAAGTTAAAACAAAATGTTTTTTTTCTTTCATTTTGTTTGTTTGTCGTTACTCTCAATGTCTGTTTTAAGCACCAGTTGCAGTTTTGTGTATTACAACCTCTTCCGAGCAACTTTGGATAATGAATCTGCTTCCTTTGTTTTGCATTTTTAATACATGAAACTTTAAAGGTTATTTTTAAATGGCTGCTGCAAAATAAAAAGGATCCAAAAGTGGTCAGGGACCTGGGTCTAATGCACTTTCGAAAGTCCATTATAAAGATGAATATAAAAGCGAATGGTAGGTTTTCTGTAGACCCACA